CTGTGATGGACTGGAGACCTGTCCAGGTGTCCCTGTGATGGACTGGAAACCTGTCCAGGTGTCCCTGTGATGGACTGGAGACCGGTCCAGATGTCCCTGTGATGGACTGGAGACCTGTCCAGGTGTCCCTGTGTTGGACTGGAGACCTGTCCAGGTGTCCCTGTGTTGGACTGGAGACCTGTCCAGGTGTCCCTGTGATGGACTACCTGTCCAGGGTGTACCCCGCCTCTCGCACAGTGACTGTTGGATACGGGCACCAGTGACTTGAAAAAGCAGAAGCAGGTAAAGATGGCTGGATGGATGATGGATGGATGATGGATGGATGATGGATGGATGGATGGTTGGATAAGTGAACAAGCATTTCCTTGATGAAAATAAATTATCTTATTAAAGGTAATGGCAGTAATGGGCTTCCATACTCCTGCGTTTGTTGATCGTATACGTGTTTTAAATAAAGATTTGATGATGAAAAAAACCTCCGTTCAGCCAATTAAAAATCGAGTGACTTTTCTTGGCCAATCAGAATGTGTTTCGCCGCGTGTATCCGGGTGAATGAGCGCGGAGGGGCGGGTCTCTGCTCCTGACATGCGCAGTGGCCGCCCTGCTGCCTCCTCTTTGACTGTGGCAGTAATCGGCAGACACCATGAAGGCGTCCGGAACTGTACGTAAAATCTTGATTCTAGCGTTTTATCCTTTTATACTCGACTACAAACTGACGAGGTAACTTTATTATCCACATTTAGTTCGACTGGTGGGCTAATATTTGTAAAAGTCCAATTTATAGCGAATATTAGGGTAGTTTTCGTCCCGATGCCTGTGTGTCTAACATGGCGGCCGCGGCACCATGTGCACGTTCAGACGGAGGAAGGTTCCGACACGAACCCAAGTTGATCCTTGCGCGACTCTGAGTTATTGTTCACACTGGCCGGTTCTGTTGGTTCTGGTTACATTTCTCGGGTTCCGTTCCGCTGGGAGCCGTAGTGTGAGAAGAGCGTTTCTTCAGCAAGGTTCTGCAGATGTTCGAGTCGGAGAAGAACTTGGGTTCGTGTCCGGTTCTGGTCCGTCCAGTGTTCCCGCAGCGTTTCATTTTAAATAAAGACCCGGGCACGGTCCATGAACCGAGCCGCGGATCGGACGCTTCGCCGAACTCCGGTCCAAAATCCTCCCGTTTTCCGTTTCGATCTCCTGGCGGGACACGGGAGCATCTGTCGGGACTTGTTCCGATCCAACTCACGTGGAGCCGCTGGGACACGGTTCGGCTGCAGAGAACTCTACATCAGATGTCGGATGATTAGTGTAAATGCTGGATCAGAAACAGATGTTTGCTCTAAATGTTGGTTCTGAACATTTGTCCAAAGAGTTCATCTGCTCAGCTCAAGTTGCTGCTTCAGTTTGTCTTGAGAGGATCCAGAACCAGGTTTTCACTGGGACCAGGACCAGACACGTGGAAGAACTTTTTCCACTCAAATGGTTCGAACTGGACATTTGAGCAGAACCAGATCCAAAGTTCTGGTTCTGTTTTATTTCATTTAGTTTCTTTACAACTGGACGAGCGTTTAAACATTTATTACTTGTTTTATTTGATCTGAGTTTTGGACCAGAACCAGGCCCGTGATGGTTTTATTGTATTTTGGATTAAAAACCAACAAAAAGTTAAATTTAACATTAAAGTAGTTCAGTTTGTTTATTATGTATTTAATAAATTACATTTTTATGTAATCATGTAAATAAATTTATATTATGTATTTATTTTTATATTTATTAATAAATTATTTTTTGTTGCGCCCAAACCCAAAGGGCACGCCAGATCAGTGGTGTGACTTTTCTCTGGGTCGCAAACAGAACCAGAACCTTGTCGCCTTTCCTGCGGCTGCCGTGCCTCTGAAAGTGAATTCAAGGTCCGACACTATTTAAGTTCAGGTTCTGATGTGCTGTGGTTCTGGTCCGACACGTTTCTGTGTGGGTGTCGGGTTCTGACAGGTTCTGGTTCTGCCCGCAGCTTCGGGAGTATAAAGTGGTCGGGCGTCTGCTGCCCTCGCCCAAGAACCCGGCCCCGCCCCTGTACCGGATGAGGATCTTCGCCCCGAACCACGTAGTGGCCAAGTCCCGGTTCTGGTACTTCGTCTCGCAGCTGAGGAAGATGAAGAAGGCTTCAGGGGAGATCGTGTACTGCGGCCTGGTGAGTGAACCGGGTCAGAACACGACTGCCAGACCCGATTCTGAGTGGGGATTAATGTTCGTAGTGTTGGAGCATCCAACTAAATCTGGGTCGAACACAAAGGTCCGGCACCGACACGGGTTCTGTCTGGGTGAGCGGTTGGTTCTGAACCACCTGCAGAAGGTGTTTGTGCTGGTTCATCAGAACCGGACCGTCGGGTCGGGTTGACCCATTTAATTCCTCTGTAAAATATTTTATTGCTTAAATTGAATAATTTTTAAACATCACATAAAAATCTAAATGCTGTAAATTAATTTTATGGATTTAGAACTGAATGGAATTGACAAAGTTTGATGTGGACGTAAGAACATGATTATATTGAAGGTGGAGATGATCTTCTGGATCCTCCACCAGGACAGCAGCTGCGTGTCTGATGATCACGTTTAAAATGCTGCTCGAGAACTCAGCTGCTGCTCAACCAGCATCCTGGAGCTCTTTGCTGCTTCACATCTTCCTCCTCTCAATAGATCTTCTATGGGGTTAAAGGTCAGGTGAGCAACTGGGACACCACGGTCCTTAAACCAGGTACTGGTAGCTTTGGCACTGTGTGCAGGGGCCAGGTCCTGTTGGAAAATGAAATTAGGGACGCACCGATCCACTTCTTTTCTTTTTTTTTTTTTCCCGATCCCTAAATCTGGAATGGGTTTTGTTTCACCATCCTCTCCAGGTGCAGTTATCTCTACTGCTCGTGCACTTTTTCTACCACATCTTCTCCTTCCCTTCACCTCTCAATGTGCTTGGACACAGAGCTCTATGAACAGCCAGCCTCTTTAGCAATGACCTCATGTGTCCTGTCCTCCTTGTGCAGGTGTCAATGGTCGTCTTTTGGACAACTGTCCAGTCAGCAGTCTTCCCATGATTGTGTAGCTACAGAACTGGACTGAGACCATTTAAAGGTCTTTGCAGGTGTTCTGAGTTAATCAGCTGATCAGAGTGTGGCACCAGGTGTCTTCAATATTGAACCTGTTCACAATGTTCTAATGTTCTGAGATACTGAATTTGGGGTTTTCATTAGTTGTCAGTTACAATCATCAACATTAAATAAATAAACATTTGAAATATATCAGTCTGTGTGTAATGAATGAATATAATATACAAGTTTCACTTTTTGAATGGAATTACTGAAATAAATCAACTTTTTCATGATATTCTCATTTTATGACAAGCACCTGTATAAGGTCAAGAGTATTGGTCCAAGCACTGAGCCCTGAGGAACTCCATGACTTTGATGAAGATTTATTATTTACATTTACATCAAAAGACTGGGTGGACATGGATATGATGTTTGTAAAGGACATAATGAGTTATGTTATCGAGCCGTTTACATATATTTGTAATTTATCATTTTCAAAAGGAATATTTCCAGACAATATGAAAGTAGCTAAGGTAGTTCCTCTCTTTAAAAATGGTGATAAATGTGTGTTCAATAATTATAGACCAATATCCTTATTACCACAGTTCTCAAAAATTCTAGAAAAACTGTTTGTGACCAGATTAGATAAATTTATTACTAAACAAAACATTCTAAGTAGCAGTCAGTATGGGTTTAGAGCAAAAAACTCTACATCAATGGCTCTCATGGAAATAATAGAACAAATAACTACTGCTGTCGATCAAAAACAGTATTGTGTTAGTATTTTTGTTGATTTAAAAAAAGCATTCGATACTATTGACCACACTATTCTCCTTGAAAAATTAAATAAATATGGTATAAGAGGACCAGCATTACACTGGGTATCTAGCTATTTAAAAGATAGGAAACAGTTTGTACAAATAAATGGTGTAAGATAGTCTGACCTGTGCAATATCACTTGTGGAGTTCCTCAAGGCTCTGTACTTGGACCAAAGTTATTTATTTTATATGTGAATGACTTAGTGAATGTATCAGGACTCCTCAAATGTGTCCTTTTTGCAGATGACGCCACATTTTTTTGTTTGGGTAAAGATGTAAAACGGATGTTGGAATTGATGAAGACAGAATTTGATAAAATACAAACTTGGTTTAAACTTAATAAATTATCATTAAATTTAGATAAAACTAAATACATGATATTTAGTAACAAAAAGAGAACTGTTGATGATCCATTTAAAATTGAGGGTGTTGAGATTTGTAGAGTTAATGAGATGAAATTTTTGGGTGTAATCATTGATGAACAGCTAACATGGAAAAATCACATCAATTCTGTAAGAACAAAAATATCTAAATCTATTGCAGTACTATACAAAGTCAGGGAATTATTAAATGATAAAGCTCTGTACATGTTGTATAACACAATCATTGTTCCACATTTAATCTATTGCATTGATGTTTGGGGGAAAGCGTGTAAAACATTTACAAAACCTATTTTTATTTTACAGAAAAGAGCTGTAAGAATTATCACCAGAAAGCATTACTGTCACCCATCAAGCACATTATTTTATCAACTGAACTTATTGAAGTTCCATGATTTGGTAGATTATAGTATTTTATCAGTTATGTATAGGGCTCAAAATAACACATTACCATTAAATATCCAAAGAAATGTTGTTAAAAGACAAAGTTGTTATAATCTTAAGGGGATAGAGATATTTGTCAAACCAACATTCAGAACTAGTCTGAAGGGAAGGTCTACCTCAATCCAAGGAGTTGGATTGTGGAATGTTCTAGAGAGTGATGTGAAAAATGCCAAGTCAATGTGTACATTTAAGAAAAAGATCAAAGCTGGATTGTTAAAAAAGTATATATGAAGTAGCTTAGTGTGTGTTTTGTATTAGAATTAGAAAAATTAGAAAGAGTTATTCATTTTGTTCTGTTACTTGAAGATTATTATGATTGAACTAATTGTTTGAAAAAAAGGGACAGATATAATAAGATTTTTTATTCTTTCATTTTAAATCTCCTGTATCTTTTTTATATTGTTATGGAATTGTTTTGTACTATTTTAAAATGAATAAACTTTATACCATACATTTACAAACTGGAATCTATCTGATAGATATAATTTAAACCAGTTTAGAGCCGTTCCTGTAATCCCAACATCATATTAAAGTCTCTGTAGTAAAATATTGTGATGAACTGCATCAGACGCAGCTCTGAGGTCCAACAGGACCAGTGGAGACACCTGTCCATTGTCCGAGGTCATGAGAATATCATGTTACTTTCACCAGTGCAGATTCAGTGGAGAGTCTAAAACCTGACTGAGAATCAGAACCATCTGGGCCTGTGAGACTTCCAACAGAATCAGATAGTTCTGTTGAGTCTGAGGTTCTGGTCAGGTGTTTGGATCTACCAGAACATAACTTTGGACACTAGAAGAACCAGAACAGGACCTTTGTCCTGAACTGTGGTTCTGGTAGAGTTCTGAGTCTGATGTGTCCAAACAGCTTCTTTATCAGAACCTGCTTTCAGGACCTCAGAGTCACAGAAACCTGAACCAGGTTTGGTCCGGTTCTAGGGAAGAAATACTTCAGTGTCTCGGGCTGGATCCAGAGTCAAAGGCTGTCAGAACCTCTGAGGGGGCATGTGGTTCTGTCTGACCCGGTCCTTCTCGATTCTGTCTGACCTGGTCCGTGTGGTTCCAGGTTTACGAGAAGACTCCTCTGAAGGTGAAGAACTTCGGGATCTGGTTGAGGTACGACTCTCGCAGCGGGACTCACAACATGTACCGAGAGTACCGAGACCTGACCACATCTGGAGCCGTCACTCAGTGCTGTGAGTAAACAAACACACAACAGGTCATCTCTGTGAGTAAACAAACACACAACAGGTCAGCTCTGTGAGTAAACAAACACACAACAGGTCATCTCTGTGAGTAAACAAACACACAGCAGGTCATCTCTGTTTATAATCTGGTTCTAGTGGTTAAACAACTTTGTTTGTTTGTTTGTTTTGGCTGGTGTCAGCTGGAGTTAACTGAACTCATCTGAACATCAGTCGGTGATAAAAACGTTTATTTTTTATAAACGGATGTGAAACTTGTTTCCTTTGATCAGGTGTCTCTGATCCGGATCAGAACCTTTAGCGTCTGGTCCAAACCAGAACCGTTAGCGTTTGGTCCGGATCAGAACCGTTAGCATCTGGTCCAGATCAGATCCTTTAGCCGTCTGGTCCAAACCAGAGCCTTTAGCGTCTGGTCCGGATCAGAACCGTTCTCTTCTGTCCCTCAGATCGTGATATGGGGGCCCGGCATCGTGCTCGCGCCCACTCCATCCAGATCATGAAGGTGCAGGTCATCGCTGCCAACAAGTGCCGCCGTCCTGCCATCAAGCAGTTCCACGTGAGTGTGCACACCTCTTCCTCGCAGTGGGCGGGTCTCTCTCCGGGCCGCAGGCTCCTCCCTCGGCTCCGGATCATAAACCCGCTAGACCATCGGCCAGGTTCCTCTTCCAGGTTTCCTGCTACTGTCTTGAAACCTGGCGGGTCTGAAATTGGCAACAGATGTTCATTTTGTTATTTGTTTGTTTGTTTGTTTGTTTGTTTTGGGTTGAAACTGTCCGTGTTTGGTTTGTTTTAGGACTCCAAGATCAAGTTCCCCCTGCCTCACCGGGTCCTGCGGCGCCAACACAAACCGCGCTTCACCACCAAGAGACCCAACACCTTCTTCTAGACACAATAATTGTTGTTGTTGTCGTTGTTTTTCTGCAGCAAACAATAAAATTATTCAGAAAATATCCTGTTTTTGTAAAGTTCACCTGAACCCAACTCCACCTCGATGTTCACTTCAGTTTATTTCTGTAGCTCCAACAGAAGTTGTGTCAGGTGAACAGAAACATTCACGCAAAGACAATTAGTGAAGTTCTCCGTCTCAGGAAGCAGCAGACACTTCATCCATCCTGAGCAAGAACAAAGGAGACAGTGGGAAGAAAAACTCCCTTTAACAGAAGAAACCTCCAGCAGAACCAGCTGGGTCTGACAGGACAGGAAGTAGAAACCAACAGAATGACAGGTCCAGGTGTACTTCCTGTAGTCCGGGTGTACTTTCTGTAGTCTGGGTGTACTTTCTGTAGTCCCGGTGTACTTTCTGTAGTCCGGGTGTACTTCCTGTAGTCCAGGTGTACTTTCTTTAGTCCCGGTGTACTTTCTGTAGTCCAGGTGTACTTTCTACAGTCCAAATGTACTTTCTATAGTCCAGGTGTACTTCCAGTAGTCCCGGTGTACTTTCTGTAGTCCAGGTGTACTTTCTACAGTCCAAATGTACTTTCTATAGTCCAGGTGTACTTTCTGTAGTCCAGGTGTACCTTCTGTAGGAGGAAAAACCAAACATGTTGAGATGAAATTATTACAAATGCAGACGGGTAGAGAAGAGCAAGTAAAGACTAGCAGAGAGGGGACATGTGGTCAGTTTGTCCCAGCAGTCTAAGCCTATAGCAGCAGGACTAAGGGCTATCTCAGGAAACCCAAGCCAACCCTAACTATAGGTTTTATCAAAAAGGAAAGTCTTAATCCCAGTCTTAAACTGGACAATGTGTCAGTCTCACGGACAGAAACTGGAAGTTGGTTCCACAAGAGAGGAGCCTGAGAACTGGAAGATCTTCCTCCCATTCTGCTGCTGGAAACTCTAGGAACCACAAGTAAACCTGCAGTCTGAGAGTGAAGTGCTCTGTTAGGAAAATATGTAACAATAAGATCTGTAATATAAGATGGAGCTAGGTTGTTGAGAGCTTTGTAGGTTAGAAGTAAGATTTTGAATTCTATTCTGGATTTGACAGGGAGCCAATGGAGAGAAGCTAAAACTGGAGAGAGATGATCTCTCCCAGTAACTCCAGTTAAGACTCTGGCAGCAGCATTTTGGATCAACTGAAGACGTTTTAAAGAAGTATTTGGACACCCAGATAATAAACCATTGCAATAGTCCAGTCTAGACGTGACAAATGCATGGACCAGTTTTTCTGCATCATCTTTAGATCAGATGTTTCTAATGTTAGTGATATTACGCAGGTGGAAGAAGGAGGTTCTAGTAACGTCTTTAATGTGGGGGATAAAAGACATGTCCTGATCAAAAATAACACCAAGATTTTTAACATTAGAGCTGGAGGACATTAAAAGCATATGACAGTACCAAAAGAGGTGTGGTATCGCATGAGAAAATCTGGAGTGGCAGAAAAGTATGTTACTACTGGCACAGGACATGTATGAGGACAGCAGGACAGTGGTGAGATGTGCTGTAGGAGTGACAGCTTCCAGGTGGAGGTGGGAGTGCATCAAAGATCGGCTCTGAGCCCCTTCTTGTTTGCTCTGGTGATGGACCGACTAACACATGAGGTCAGGCAGGAATCCCCGTGGATGATGATGTTTGCAGATGATGTGATCTGTGGTGAGAACAGGGAACAGGTGGAAGAGAACTTGGAGAGGTGGAGGTATGCACTTGAAAGAAGAGGAATGAAAGTCAGTCGTAGTAAGACAGAGTCCATGTGTGTGAATGAGAGGGAGGAGGTGGAACAGTGAGGCTACAAGGAGCAGAGGTCACAAAGGTGCAGGACTTCAAGGACTTGGGGTCCACTGTCCAGGAACATGGGGAGTGTGGTGAAGAGGTGAAGAAGAGAGTCCAGGCAGGATGGAGTGATGGAGAAAAGTTTCAGGAGTGGTTTGTGACAAAAGGGTGTCAGCAAAGATCAAAGGAAAAGTTTACAAGACAGTGGTGAGACCAGCTATGTTGTATGGTCTGGAGACAGAGACATGGACAAAAAGACAGGAGACAGAACTGGAAGTGTCAGAAATGAAGATATTGAGGTTCTCCTTAGAGACAAGGATGGAGAAGATCAGGAATGAGATCATCAGAGGTACAGCCCAGGTTGAACACCTGGGAGATGAAGTTAGAGAGGACACACTGAGATGGTTTGGACATGTCCAGAGGAGGGACAGTGGTTTGGACATGTCCAGAGGAAGGAGACAGTGGTTTGAACATGTCCAGAAGAGGGACAGTGGTTTGGACATGTCCAGAGGAGGGACAGTGGTTTGGACATGTCCAGAGGAGGGACAGTGGTTTGGACATGTCCAGAGTTGGGACAGTGTGTATATTGGTAGAAGGATGTTAGAAGTGCAGCTGTCAGGAAAAGGACAAAGAGGAGACATCTGGATGCAGTTAGAGGACATGGACGTAGTTGGAGTGAGGACAGAGTGAGATGGAGGAGGACTCTGTGGAGACCTCTGAAGCGGAAAAAGCCGAAAGTAGAAGTCCAGGACAGGACTGACCTTTGACCCTGTTAGTTCTGAGGACCCTGCTCCTTGCGTCCACATAGGGGCGCTGTGCTTTAAGAAATGAAAATGCTCGGGCACGAACATCAGGTTCCTTAAAGTACAAACGTTTCTGGTTCCTCGTGTATGAAGGAACTTTATCTGAACAGGAACTGAGGCTGGTGTGGGTTTTTACCTGTTGGCTCAGCAGACCAGAAGAGCTTCAATACATGTAAGCTCAATCATCCACGTAGATAACAACAATAATCTGTGTCATCTGGGCCAGTTTCTTTAAGTGAGAAACGTTTCATCTCCCATCCAGAGGACTTCGTCAGTCTGCAGCCTGTCAACCAGATCTGTCCCATAAGTAGCCTTCACTCCTGTGTTTCAAGACAACCTCCTGTTGAAATCTCAGAAGTTAACGCGCAAACAGAGCATAGCCATCCAAAACAATCATGAACAACAATGACTTTGGCCTTGGTGTCCTCGGGCTGTTTCTGTGAGTAACAAGTATCTGGCCTAAAACATTGTTCTTGATGACTGATTGTTTTGAATGGGTGTGTTTGCACGTCTTGACTTCTGAGATTCCAACAGGAGGTTGCCTTGAAGCAGCAGTGAAGGCTACCTATGGGACAGATCTGATTAGCAGGCCACAGACTGAAGAAGTCCTCTGGATGGGAGATGAAACTTTTCTTAAAGAAACTGGTCCAGATGAAATGATTTAACCTTTTTTATTGTAACTTCAATAGATGTTTGATTCAAGGTTCTTTATTGTCATTCGCATCACATGTAGTACATGAGGTGGAATGAAATTGTGTATTCAAGGTCCCAGTTACATCCAACAATAGCAACAATATAAATTGTTAAAGAAACAGTGATAAGATCTAAGTGCAAAAACAATACACTGAACAACAGCAGCACGAACACGAGTCTGTGTGAGCAGATGAGCACGAATGAACACAGCAACATGAAACGGATCAGCAGCAACATGAAACAGATCAGCAGCAACATGAAACAGATCAGCAGCAACATGAAACATCAGCAGCAACATGAAACAGATCAGCAGCAATATGAAACAGATCAGAAGCAACATGAAACAGATCAGAAGCAACATGAA